CTCAGCTTAAGATTTTTGTCTTTGTTTTTGCAGGCGAGGCTCCTATAACTTGTAGTGTCTTGGAAGTTGGGAGTTACTAATAACAAGTTTTGAACAAAACAAAATATCTTTGCCTTGATTTTTTAAATTTAGGTGTGTGTGTGTGTGTGTGTGTGTGTGTGTGTGTGTGTGTGTGTCTGTCTGTGTGTGTGTGTGTGTGTGTGTGTGTGTGTGTGTGTGTGTGCCACATGCCTGCCTGGTACCGGTGACTGTCAGAAGAGGGCACTAGCCCTGGGAACTGGAGTCCCATGCAGTTGCAAGCTACCACACATGGGTGCTGGGAGCTGAACTCATTCTCTCAGCGGCTGAGTCCCCTATTCAGTCCTGCAGCTTTGTCCTTATAAAATGATTTCCTCTCTTATTTTCAGCCATGCAGTCTAGACAAGGCTCTTGACTGAGTTTTGGGAGACACTGAATGGTAGACAGGCACCAGCTACTGCTAGAAGCACTAACAGGTTCTCAGATCCTTGTAAATGGTGATTCTGCCCCGCATCCGAGTGCCAGAACCAAATGTCAAAGGCATGTGCTTCCTGACCTGGACTTATTTTTATTGTTTATTTACTTATTATTTACTTATTTTTGACACAAGTTCTCTCTACATAGCCCTGGCTGACCTGGAACTCATACATAGACCAGGTACATTCATTTTTTTTTTTAAATCCCCAAGCCCAAAGGATTAGTAGTGAATTAATTTGTGTCTCAGCTTAGTTGAACAAAATCATCTTTACTTGACATCAAAACTCATTGAGAAGAAAAAATGACTCCCGGGCATTTAAATTTACCCCCCAGAGATCTAGAAGTAGAAATTCTAATGCATTTGGGAAATTTATCTTCATGGGCCTTCATAGTAGCCTCCAGCAGACACTTAACAAAGAAATATGGGTATGGCAGGCACTGGGGAATAGGTGTAGGGACTTAGCTGCCTTTGAGTCAGCCTTGGCTGAGAAATATCCTGCAGGCTTGGTGTGCTTTGAAGAGGTAGCCTACTATCAGAGACATAAGGAGGGGCTCCAAGGGTGGAGAGCCGGGCTGCCCAGCTTTGATGGAGCAGCTTCCAGGCAGGCTCAGTAAGCAGGTTGTCTGCTGAAGGACAACAGACTGCTCCAATCTTCTCAACAGATATCAAGGCTCTCTATTAGAGTTGGTATCCAGTTGTCAGATACAAGATCGAAGTTTTCAAGGACAGCCCAGCAAGAATCCACCCTAGAAGCCACCTCCTGAGTGAGCAGAAGCCCCCAATCTTTGAAAGTGAACTTGAGGTTTTCTGCCCACCATGCAACCCAGACCAGGCTGTCTAGAAAGCAGTGCCCAGCTACTGTCATCTTTTACATTACATTAGGCATGGCCACATTTGTCTTGGTTACTGTTTTATTGCTGTGAAGAGACACCATGAGCAAGTCAACTTATAAAAGAAAATCATTTAATGGGGGTTTGTTTACAGTTTCAGAGGGTGAGTCCATGACTGTCATGGTGGGTAGCATGGCGGCCGGCAGGCATGTTGCTGGAGCCGTAGCTGAGAGCTTACGTCATGATCCACAGGCCTCAGGCAGAAAAACAAGACTGGGTCTAGTGTAAGCTATTGACTTTTCCCAAACAGTTCATTCTGTAAAAGTTCATTCCGAGGGCAATGTGCCGTATTGCAAATGACCGATTTGACTTTTTAGGGTAAAGTCACAGCCCACCCCCAGTGACACACCTCCTCTAACAAGGCCACACCTAATCCTTCCTAAACAGTTCCACCTACTAGGGACCAGACATTTAAATACATGAGCCCGTGGGGGCCGTTCTCCTTCAAACCACCACAGTATTTAAGTTTAGTCAGACAACCCTGAGGTTCCTACACCTGAATCATGCCTACTGAGGGAGAGATCTCTTGGGGCCTCAGGGCTCCTCTTTCTGAAATTAGATAAGCGAGAGTGTGCACTGCAACCTGTGAAAAAATAACTGAAGCCTTCCAAGACCTCCATCTGCAGGCTTTTCCACAGGGGAGTTTGATGACTCTCATCAGATACACGTCTCAGAGACTTGACATAATCTCAACTGCTCTTTTGTATCTGTTTCCTCCTATGCATTGCCCTCCTTTCCTCCCTGTTTGATCTGGCTGGTCTGGAGCTTCCTATGTAGACCAGGCTGATCTCAAACTTGTAGAGGACCTCCTATGCTAATATTTTGCAGGTGCGCCCCACATACTTCTTCTTATAGTTGAAGAATCTGAAACTCAAAACACATCCATGGTATCACAAGCCATGTGTCAGGACTCAAACCCTGCTGTGTCTGCATTCAAGCATGTAAGTTGGTATCAGTCACTGTGCATGAAGCATGACATGCTGGTGCTAGCAAACAGAGGCCGCATCTGGACAGGAAACCTCCATGGCGCCTGAGCCCTCTGCTGGCAATGCTGTGTAATTTCTGGTCTAAAAGCCAATTTCCCAGAAATTGGGAAATTGGTGGTGTGTTGTAAAACAGCTCAAATTGACTGAGTTTATGACATGGTGAAAGGCTGGGGATGCCAGAGTCTTCTGATTTCCAGTTGCATGAAAAAAGGAGGCTGGAAAAACAAAGAAAACAAGCTGTGTAGAAAAAACAAGTGTCTCAAAGTTCTCTCTGCATTAAACAAATTTTTTGTTTTTTTTTTTGTTGTTGTTTTGTTTTGTTTTGTTTTTTGGTTTTTCCAGACAGGGTTTCTCTGTGTAGCTTTGGAGCCTATCCTGCCACTCACTCTGGAGACCAGGCTGGCCTCGAACTCACAGAGATCCACCTGCTTCTGCCTCCCCAGTTCTGTAAACAAATGTTTTAAAGAAACATAAGGTTTTTTTTCATCATTCAGCCAGAGAGAGGTGCAGGTGTAATTTTTGCACCTATCAGCAATACAGTAATGATTCTTCCAGAGCAGCTCATTGACACCAAGATAGAAAATACATAGAAAAACATACAATGAGGAAGTAGAGACAGGAGCCTTGGGTATATAGTAAGACTCTGTCTCAAAGAACAAACAAACTCTTATGAATATGCACTGAGAACATTTATCACCCCACCACACCCTATGCATGCCTTTTATTCTTCCAAGCCTACAAATCATCTGTCTTGGCAGAAATGAATCTTGCTCTTTTTAGCCTCTCCGTCTCCCTCTTTCGGGAAGAAGTTCTGGAACACAAGGCCCTATAGATCATTCAGTACAGTGTCATAGTTAGAAATCTCAGCTTTAAAGTCAGGCAAACCTAGGTTTGGAGCATAGTTACAGTGCTGCATAGAAGCTATCCTGTGGCTGGGCAGTGGTGGCGCACGCCTTTAATTTCAGCACTCGGGAGGCAGAGGCAGGCAGATTTCTATGAGTTTGAGACCAGCCTGGTCTACAAGAGCTAGTTCCAGGATAACCTCCAAAGCCACAGAGAAACCTTGTCTCGAACCCGCCCCCCCCCCCAAAAAAAAGAAGCTACCCCGTGGCTTTAAATATTCTCAGAGGATTGGGGTGAAGTCTGAAGACATACTCCTAAGTCCTTTAACACAATGTCCGAGACACACCTGTGCCCTCTCTAGTGTCCCTTCTATCATCATTCAACCCAGCCTCTTCATTTCATAGATGAGGGAATGAGGTTTTGAGAGAAATGTCTTCAAAGATGAGATGACCAGTTAGGGCAAAACTGAGTGGATGCAGGCATCATTGCCCGTCTTTCCTTGCCTGGTCACATGTGGCATAGTGGATTTTTCTTTATTCCTCAACTCTGAGCAGAAAGCAGTTGGGACATTTTTCACAACTAGTTGTCAGGGCCATTTTGAGCTGATGCTATTGCCAGAGCCAGGGGCAGCGCATCCTGTAGTGTAGCTCCCTGTCATCAAGAGCAGGCTCTTACCCCACACTAGTAATGTACCTTGTGTTTGGAGCAGCTAACTTCCATGTAGCACTGTGCAGCTGCCCCTGTCATTATTTTATCTTCTGCAAATTGAAGCTGTAGAAAAAGAAGCTAATAAGGGGTGTCATCTCCAACAGCTTTCCCATGTTCTGGAAAGTGCCAAGCCTCTGCCTCCAGCCAGCCTCCTCCCCACATTCCTGAAGAGCCCTCTTTTCAAGGCCCCATGTCTTAGTGAGGGCTACTGCTGCTGGGAAGAGACACCATGACCATGGCAACTCTTACAAAGAAAATATTTAATTGGGGTGGCTGGCTTACAGTTTCAGAGGTTCAATTTATCAAGACATGGAGCACGGTGGTGTGCAGGCAGACATGGTGCTGGAGCTAAGAGTGCTATATCTTGGAGGCAATGGGAAGTCAACTGACAGTCACACTGAGGGACCCCAGGCCTAGACTCATCAAGTGTTTGGAGCTAAGAAAGCTTGCCTAACAAATCCATAGCCAAATGTTTCCACTTCAGGGCCTTTGGGGAGTAGGACAAATTGTTTTGGGAGCCTCTAAAGGAATGAAGAGAGAATAAGAAATATAGGGACAATAGCCTGGCTAACGTTTTGAGTTACAATCCTGCTACACATATAGCATTTCAGTTTCTGCCCTTCAGGAGTCTTCACCTTAAACACCTGTAGTAGCAGTGGGACCCTCGTTAAGGATCTTTTGCTCCCTTAGACAATAAACATGGGATTTCTTAAAGCCAGTGTGGAGTGTCCGAAGACCGTTGAAGAAGCTGAGACAGGATCACCTCTCATTTCAGAGGGTATACACACAGGAGGTGCGCGCGCACACACACACACACACACACACACACACACACACACACACACACACTTTGCCCTTATCTTCCCAAGTAAAAAGAGGCAGACAAGGGACGTCCTATTACACATACTGTTTACTCTGGGCATGGCTATTGACTCCAGACCTTATCATTGGGTCCTCAGACTGGGCAGGGCAGGTCTGGGCACCAGGAAGAGCTGGTGACCCTGCCCTGTGCTTGAGAAGAAAAGAAGGGGGAAGAGAGATCAAAGCAGAGTGAGAGAAGCTGCTGGTTGGACCACAATGAAATCCCTCCTTGCACTGCTGCTGGTTCTTCTGGACCTGGGACAGGCCTATGGAGCTATACACAGGTAAGGCCCTGCCCCCAGCACTGAGTTCAACTTAGGTATCCCCTAACCCTGGCTCGGAGATGCCCCTGGGGGAGGAAAGCTAATGAGGAAATGAAAAGAAGAAACTGGGGTTTCACGGGAATCCCTAGACAATGTTCCCCAGTCTATGCCAGGCCAATCCTTCCAGTGGAGGTGCCTGCCCCAGTTCAAGGGGCTCCCTCTGTTGCTCAAAAGCGTGCCTCACAGCTATGGTTTGCAACTCCAAGCCTTCAAATACTTTCCCATGTAGTGATATTTGTTTATGATCTAATAAAGTTGCCTGGAGATCAGAAATCAAAGCTAGCCACAGCCATAGAAGCTGAGCAGTGGTGGTACATACCTTTATTCCCAGGACTCAGGAGACAGAGGCAGATAGATCTCTGTGAATTCAAGGCCACCCTAGGCTACATGAGAGTGAATCAGTCTAAAGGAGAAACAGAGCTCATACCTTTAATCCCAGAACTAGAGAGACTATAAGGAGCTCAGTGCAGTCTCAGAGAGTCTCTGAGATTTGGTGAGGAGCAGTGCAGTCTGGAGATGCAATGTGAGGTTTGGTAGATCACCCCCTAGGTCTGAGCACCAGTAGAAGTGAGAACTCTCACTTTGCTTTGCTTTTCTGATCTTCTGATTGAACCTCAATATCTGTCTCTGGGTTTTTATTATTTGGGCTACATTGCCAAGCTGCACAGAGTACCAGTCCACAGAGTCCTTCCATCCCTTTAAGTCAGCCTTTCATGGAGGTCAGATGAAACTTTGGACTGTGTCCTACCTCCCATTCCCTAGAAAATCTCAAAGGGACAGCGCCCAGTAGGGAAAGCCACTTCTACTCAGATCCTGAATCCACAGGTCAGAGAAGGCCTGCTTATGGCCGCACCCTGGTCTTGAAGGTCCTCTCCTGGGTCTTGCTGTAGTCAGGCTATGAACCGATACATGGATATAGGGGACAGAAGCAGAACTGTCCCCTCATGCCTCTTTTTCTCTAGGGTACCCCTCAGAAAGCATCAGTCCATCCGGAAGAAGCTGCGGGCCCGAGGCAAGCTCTCAGACTTCTGGAAGTCCCAGAACTTGGACATGATCCAGTTCAGCGAGTCCTGTAAAATGGACCAGAGTACCAATGAGCCACTCATCAACTATCTGGATGTAAGACTTCTTAGGTTGAAGCCTAGGGACACAGGGTGTAAGGAGGAAGGCTGGGCCTCCAGCAGGGACCAGTGCTGCATCAGTGACTTTGGGTGCTTAGGTATGGGTCTCTTTGCTTGGATGACTCAGATGTCTAATCCCCTAGTCTCTGTGAACTTTGTAAAGCAGGCCCCAGTAAGGCCCAGTGTGCAAGGATTCCTTCAAGAAGAAAGAGATAAGGATGAAATGTGCTCCAAGGGGAAAGACCCTACTGTGTGCTTGGCTGGGTATTTTACTAGCTATATGTTTGGGCAAAGAAAGAACTTGATTCCCCACATTCCCAGTTCCCTGATCCCAAAAAACAGAGGCATTTCTGTCTCCCCTGCCTTGTTCACAATGACATTTTAAGAATCAGGACCCTATGAGAGACATACATGGTCCCCTGGAGAAGGGGAAAGGGACAGGATCTCCTGAGCAAATTGGGAGAAGGGGAGAGGGGAAAGGGAGCTAGGAGAATGAGAAGGGGAGAAGAGGAGGGGTGAAGAGGACATGAGGGAGCAGGAAGGTTGAGTTGGGAGAAGAATAGAGGAGAGCAAGATAAGAGATACCATAATAGAGGGAGCCATTATAGGTTTAAAGAGAAATCTGGCACTGGAAATGTTCAGAGATCTACAAGTTTGACCCCAACTAACAATCTAAGCAGCAGTTGAAAGACCACCTTAAATGCCCTTCTCCAATAATGAGATTGATGCCTACCTTCAATCCTAGAGCCTTCATCCAGTAGCTGATGGAAGCAGAAGCAGACACCCACACCTAAACACTGAGGTAAAATCTGGAATCCAGTTGCAGAGAGGGAGGAATGATGAGCAAAGGGGCCAAGACTAGGCTGGAGAAACCCACAGAAACAGCTGATCTGAACAAGGGGGAGCTCATGGTCCCCAAACTGATAGCTAGGAAACTAGCATAGGACTGATCCAGACTCCATGAATGTGTGTGTCAATGAGGAGGCCTCAGAAATCTATGGGGCCTCTTGTAGTAGATCAGTACTTATCCCTAGCATAGGAATGAACTTTGGGAGCTCATTCCAGGTAGAGGGATACTCCCTAGGATACACGGGAGAGGGCCTAGGCCCTATCCCAAAGGCTATGACAGACTCCGAAGATCCCCTATGGAAGGCCTCACCCTCCCTGGGGCGAAGAAAGGAGTTGGGATAGGTAAGGTGTTAGTGGGGGGAAGGAGAGGAGGGGAGGGAGAGGGAACTGGGATTGACATGTAAGACAATCTTGTTTCTAATTTAAAATTTAAAAGTGGAAAACAAAGAATCAGGATAATGAGAGAAGAATGGAACCAAGTTTCCTGAGTGTCCTTAGTGCCCGCCCTGGTGGTCTCTGCTCTGTTCCTGGCATCCTTTGTCTCCAGCCTTGCCTCTTCAAGGCTCTGTAAACTGTCATCTGTGGGAGTCCATGCTCTAGTTGCAAGCAATCCTTCTCCCTTCCTCCCACACTCTCTTTCTTTCTCTCCCGTCCCTGTAGGTGGAATACTTCGGCACTATCTCCATTGGATCCCCACCACAGAACTTCACTGTCATTTTTGACACTGGCTCCTCCAACCTCTGGGTCCCTTCTGTTTACTGTACCAGCCCAGCATGCAGTAAGTGTGCAGCAATGGTGGGAATCACTTCTTAGAGGCTATTTTGTGCAGTGGAGAGACTTTGATTCCCTCCACAGGTCCTCCCTGCCATACCAGCCTCCGGCCCACACCCCGTGTGTGTGTGTGCGTGTGTGTGTGTGTGTGTGTGTGTGTGTGTGTGTGTGTGTTTGGTGTGGCTGGGTCAGGGATGGAGATGAAAAGTAACTGCTAGTCAAGATAACAATTTTCAAATTAGTCAGAATTAATGGAGAGAAAATTAGCCACTAAAAAGAGAAATCTTTGACTTGGTGACTCACTTCCTTTGAAACACACCCAAAGGAACATGGGGGATAGTTTCTCTGGTCTATACCTGAACAGGTTGGTCAGTTGAGTTCTAAGGAAGACTGTATACCTGCTTCAAGGAGGCCCTGATGGCCTGGCTCCCATGGAGGTGTGGCTGGTAGGGTACAATGGCATGGGTGTGTCCATTTGGCCAGAGGTAATGTAGGGTTAGGGAGAGATTGGAAACAGAAGCCCTAAACAGAGAAGGATCTTTCTGTGTGAAACACATCCCAAGGGTAGAAGCTCTTTGAAACCCGAAACTAGACATCTGTAAAGTAGGGTGAAGAGTTGGGGATAATTTCCTAGAGTGGTAATTGTTCACCCAGAGCTTCCTCTGAAAGCCAGGCTCTGCCCCACACCGATGGCTGAGACTGCTGCTGGCGCCAGGTAAATGGTGCTTATCTTGTGTCTATGAGGTCACTGTGAGCAACCAGATTTGCCCAGGGACAAATATTTGGTCCCTGGTTGGGACACACCTGGTCAGGCTAGCAAGAACACAGTAGCTCACTGACAGGCCTTGCCAAGAACCCCCATCGTCCATTCATTGTGGGTAGCCGAGGGAAGCCACTCTGCCTCTCTGGGGCAGGGATGGAAGCAATAAGCAGCATTCTTGTTTTCCAGAGACTCACCCGGTGTTCCATCCATCCCAGTCCAGCACATATGAGGAGGTAGGGAATCATTTCTCCATCCAGTATGGTACTGGGAGCCTGACCGGAATCATCGGAGCTGACCAAGTCTCTGTGAGTGAGATTCTTCAATCTTTGCTCTCTTGCCCAGGAACTAGGCACAGGGGTATCAGGATATGGTTCAGAGGTCTCAGGGACACAATTTCAGGTCTGCCTCAGGTGGATTTAGACAAGGCTAGCTTCCAGGACAAGGGAGCAATCCTTCCCTCCCAAGATGGGACAGTGGTCATCTTTCAGCACACTGAGCCCTAGACAGAAGCATGGGACTACCTTCAGGAGAGAAGGGTCAGGGCACAATGCCTGGTGTCAGGACTGGATCACCAGTCCCTGAGCACTAAGGGGATGAGAGAAGGCTGTCACCTTGAAAGAAAAAAAGTGCAAGCCAGTGAGCAAGCTGAGGCTCCATCGGGAAATAGGAAGGTGTGAGGCAAACATCCAACTACAGAGAAGAATACAGGTGTCAAAGTCCCAAAGTCTAGCCACTCCTTGAACACCGAAACACCCCCCCCCCCCATCAAAAGTCTTACCGGTCCCTGCTGTGGGAATCAGAGAACCAGGGGAGTCCTGGCCCTGCCTGGATACTTTCTGCAAGTGTGTGTGAGAAATAGAGGCTGGTCCACCCTGATGGCCATCATTCTATATCCCAAGGTCAGTGGAGCACAGTCTTTGTCAACATCCTTTCAACAATTTGAGAATTAAGTGGGGAAAAGTGAAAATAAAAACCTAGCAGAAGACTCTTTTTTATCACTGCCCCCCCATTAAACCTGGAGCAAATCTTTCTGAACTCTTGTGAGTTGTGTGGGGTTTGGTTACTCCACTGAGCTGGCCATCAAATAATAAAAAGAAAAATGAATGTATTGCTAGCCTTAATTATTTTCTTTAGTATACTAAGTCTCCTTAAAATATGTTTAAGAGGGCTGGAGAAATGACTCAGTGGTTCTTACAGAAGACCTGGGTTCAATTCCCAGCACCCATGTGACAGCTCACAACTGTCTGTAACTCCAGTTCCAAGGGGGCCCAGCACCCCTACACAGACAGGTTCCAGCTGACACATATCTTCTCTCTCGACACATACCTTCTCTCTGCTGCCACATCTGCAGACCTCAGGCTGCAATCCTAGGTTAGAAACCACATCTTTAGTGCACTCTCTAACTGGCATCTGCAACTGTGTAAAGACAATTATCTAAACACACACACACACACACACACACACACACACACACACACGTATGTAAGATATAAGTACACAGATTGATGTACAGTTAATGTAGTTCTTAAAGTACAGCCCAAAGTGCATTATATGAGAAAAACCAGTGACCTAGACTGTTGTTTTGAGTCACAAACACTAAGAAGAACAAGCCACTAATAACAGGAGCAAACCAAACCCAAAGAAAAGGGAAGGAAAGAAATTATAGAGAGAAGGACCAGGACGTCAGTGAAGTAGGAAATCCACACTGGAAACAAGAACAACAAAGGCACAAATTAACTGCAAAGGGCAACCAACTGGCCTAGCATGACTAATCCAGAAAAATGAAAGAAACCTAACATTAGAATGAAAAGGGACACTATTAAAGATCTCGTCAACCTCAAAACAAGATATCAAAGTTGTCTTGCATTGATAAGCTTTGCAATAATCCTAAATCGATGAATATTCTGAGGAATATGAACTATCAAACCTGATGCAATAAAATAGAAAATATTAATAATGTGGTATCTATTTTAAATGCTTACTCTACTATTTTAAAAAGAAAAAAAAAAAGAAAAAAAAAAAACCTTCCCACAAGGAAAACTCTGGGTCCATCTTCCAGAGAATTGATAGTTACTTCATAGCCGAACAACTTTAATAATAATACTTGAAAAAGTTATTATAAGCACTAGAACATGCCCTTAATCCCTGAACTCAGGAGGCAGAGGCAGACAAATCTCTGTGAGTGTCATCCCAGCCTGATCTATATAGAGAGTTAGTTATAGGATAATCAAAGCTATATAGTGAGACCCTGTCTGAATAGTCTGTTGGTCGGTCAGTCAATCAGTCAAGTCAGTCAGTCAGTCAAATAACTGGAACTAAAGGCTAGGGATACAGGTCAGTTTGCAGAGTGCTTGCCTGGCATACACAAAGCCCATAATTTGATCCCTAGGACCACAAAAACTGGACAAGGTGACACACACATCTAATCCCAGCACTCTGGAGCCAAAGGCAAGAGGATCAGAAGTTTAAGATTTCCTGTTACATAGTAAATCCTGTGCTAGCCTGGGCTGTATGAGATCGTGTCTCAAAAGGAACAAAACAAAATGGATTAGCGTTACACCCTTTCTCCATAGATGTCAAAGCTTTTGTGTTCTGTGGGGAGGACAGATCTGAGACAGCTCTCACTGAGAGCAGAGTTTAACTTGGAACTTACCATCCTCTTACTGAGTGCTGAATTGAGTGTTGAGATTTCAGGCAAATGCCACCATGCCCAAATAGATGCCGAAGCCCTAAACAAAAAAAAAATGAGCAAATTAAATTTTGTGAGGATCATAAGACCCAACCAAGAGTCATTTCTTCCTAGAAATTTGTCATCTGAGAGAATAAAGACAAAAAAGCAATACAAACATCTGGATGGGTAAAATTCAAGATGTGTTCATAACTTAAAAATAAACTCTTAGAAGACCAGGATTATAAATTAACTTCCTTAGTCTATTAAAGAATACCCACAAGACAGTCATGGGGATGCGTGTGGGAGGCTGTGGAGGAAGCCAGAGAGTTTGAGGTTAATTTGTCCTCCTCTGAAGCCCACAGCAGAGCTTACAGTCAATAGTGAATTTTTTGAGAGGGTTTGAAATTCTCCCTGAGATTAGGAACCAGACAGCAGTAGTCATATCACCCTGTCTGTTCAGCACTGTGCTGAAGACCATTGCTAACACAGTAAGACAAGAAAAGAAAAAGAAACTAAGTAACATTGTCATACCAGCAGCACACACAAAGACTCTCTTGTTTGTTTTTAGTTTTGCTTGTTTTCATTTCTTTTATTTTTGACATTATAGTATAATTACATAATTTCCTTCTTGCTTTTCCTTTCTCCAAACCCTCCCATAAACCCCTCCTAGCGCTTTTTCAAATTCATGGTCTCTTTTTTCACTAATTGTTGTTATATACATACGTATGTATGTATGTATGTATGTATTGTATGTATGTATTCCTAGATACATGCTAACAACCTGCTCTGTTTGTATAATATTACTTGTATGTACATGTTTCCAGGGATGACCATTTGGTATTGAATAACCAAATGGGTGTGCTCTTTCCTAGGAAAGGTGATTTCTCCCATTCTCAGCATTCCTTGGTTGCCCATAGTTCTTTGCCTAGGCTGAGGCCTCATGGGCTTTCTCCCATCTGTGTCTAGTGTCACTTTTGTTCAGCTTTTTTACACAGTCATATTGGTGAGGCTTTATGGGTGTAACTTTTAACTCTCTTAAGAGACACAATCTCACAGCAAACTCCCCCTGCCTCCGGTTCTTACAGTTTCTCTGAACCCTCTCTTCACAATGACCCCTGAGCCTTATCTGTGGAATTGTTTTTTGTTTTTTGTTTTTTGTTTTTTTGAAATATCCACTGGGACTGGGTTCCGCATCTCTGAATGTTGATTGGTTGTGACAACTCTGTCGGTTTCAAAGAGAAGTTGCTTTGATGAGAATTGAGGATTACATTTATCAGTGGGTATAAAGACAAATGTTTAGAGTGTAGCTACGGTTTATGTTGCTTTAGTGAGGTGGTGGTTATGGGCTCTCCTCCAAGATCCATTACTTCCCTAGCCCTGGGTAGCCTGCTAGGCTTCCAGTACTGGGCAAGATTTCCCTCTTGTTTTGTTCAGTTTTCTTTTGAGACAGGGTTTTACTGTAGCCCTGGCTTGTCCTGGAATTCTCTGTGTAGATCAGACTGGCCTCAAACTCACAGAGATCCATCCACCTGCATCTGCCTCCTGAGTGCTGGGATTAAAGGCATGCACCAAGACAAATAACCACAAGAAAAAAATCCACATGTAGGAAATCTAAAAATATCTTCAGTATATTGAGAATAATAAGAAAATCTACCAACATTTCTAGAAGAGGTAAACATACAAAAGTCATGTGGATTTCTATGTCACAGCAAAGACAAATGAAAAATAGGTTTTGAAAACCATCAAAAACAGCTTACCTCTAACAAATATGCTCTACCCTAAAAACAACCATAAATCACTGCTGTATGAAATTAAAAGATTATATATTGAAAGATGAGCGAGGACTGTAGAAAGATTTACTTTGATAAAATAGTCAAAATCTCCAAGTTGATTTTTAGATCCAGTGTTGCCCCAATCAAACAGTACTGATTTGTGTTAGAAATTGATAAATTGGTTCTAGCATGTAGATGAATGCAATGTAATATACAGGAATAATCTTGATTCACCAGGTGGTGGTGGCACATGTCTTTAATCCCAGCACTTGGGAGGCAGAGGCAGGCAGATCTCTGTGAATTTGAGACCAGCCTGGTCTATAAAAGTGAGTTCCTGGACAGCCTCCAAAGCTACTCAGGGAAACCCTGTCTTAAAAAAAAAAACATCATCATCATCATCATCATCATCATCATCATCATCATCATCATCATCATCATCATCATCATCATCATCATCATCATCATCATCATCATCATCATCATCATCATCATCATCATCATCATCATCATCATCATCATCATCATCATCATCATCATCATCATCATCATCATCATCATCATCATCATCATCATCATCATCATCATCATCATCATCTTGACTTATGAAAACAATGCCAAGGTATTATAAATCCACAATTTGGACTCCCATATTGGTACAGGCTAAGAAAAAAAAGGAAAAAAAAAAAACAAATGTACCAGGATGTATGAAAAAAATCTAGAAATCTCCCACCAATCACCTCACTCATATTGAACATTTTACTGTAGCATATAGAAGATAACACTGTTATTAAAAAACGGTAGGTCAGTTAGATATCTGTACAGGAAAAAAAACTTTGTCGTATGTTGTCAGACTTTAGGTAGATTATAGACCTAAATGCAAAAATGTAAAAGAATAAAGCATGTAGAAAAAACTTGGGAAAATGTCTCCATGACTGTGAAAAAGAAAAACTCCAAAGCACATTATTTAAAAAAAAAAACAGTAATGGTGAAGCAAAAATTAACTACATTAAAATTCATATATTTTTTTCATCAAAAACAGCAAAAGGCATCACTGGCAGTTGGGGGGGGGGGCTTGTAGTTTCCAGCAAAGGACTTGGTTCCAAAATATACCACCAACAACCACAAAAGCAGGCATTCCTAAAAGAAGATATCCAAATAACCAATTAATTGTTGTGAAATGCAATTAAAATCTCAATATAACCCTCTGTGTATCTGCTATAAAACCAACATGGAAGAGACAGGCCATAAAGCTTTCATGAGGGTATGGCCCAATTGGTACTCTCAGAATATCAGTAAAGGAAACACTGGTACCACAATTTTGCAAGATTCCAGGACTTTTGATCAGAGAGAATACTTATAAACCCTGACGTCTAGAGATTTGCTCCAATGGAAATACACACCTGTGTTCACCAAAGGAAGAGGAAGTATACACAGAGCAGCAGCAGTGATAATCAAACACAGGAAACAGCCCAGAATCCTACCCATGGATGGCATAAGGGATCAAGCATGTAACATAGTCATACCTTGGAATACTAATGAGAATAAAAGCATTCTAAGAGTATGTAGCAAGCATAGTGCTAAGGAACAGAAGCTAAGTAGCAGCGTCCTAGTAAACAATTCCATTCATGTAAAATTAAAGACATAGACAAACCAATGTTGCTTGGAAGGCCAGTCACTTTGGAGGAGGGACACAATGATTGGTAGGGTACAGGAAAGGAATGTCCTGGGGCTTTGAAATGTTCTGTCTTGTCTCAGGAGGGTTTCATGGGCATGTATAGTGTGTGGACTGTTATTAGACACTCGCATTTTCTGCATTTCATTATATTTCAATTTTTAAAGTCACGTGAAGAAATTACATCAGTGGGATTATAGTTAACATTTTTGTCCTGTTTATCAAGGAAAGCTGAGAAAGGAAGATTTAGCTTTCATTGGAACAGGGACCCAGGAATCTGAGAACCTCATCCAACGAACCTTTGTGCAATTCTCCCTTCAGGTGGAAGGGCTGACTGTGGACGGCCAGCAGTTTGGAGAGAGTGTCAAGGAGCCGGGCCAGACTTTTGTGAATGCAGAGTTTGATGGGATTCTGGGCCTGGGATACCCTTCACTGGCTGTTGGAGGGGTGACCCCAGTGTTTGACAACATGATGGCCCAGAACCTCGTGGATCTGCCTATATTTTCTGTCTACATGAGCAGGTGAGGCCAGTCAAGTTCCATGGGTCAGGTCAATGATGACTACAGGCAGAAACTTTATGGGCCTAAGACCAGTGAATCTCTTGAAACTCTGGCTTGACCTATGACATATGATCTTGAGCAAAACACTTAGGCTCTCTGGATTTTGAGGAAATGTGATTTGCCGCATAAAGGAGTTGTGACAAATACTTGGTAAACTACCACTGTGAGTTGAATCTATGGACCCTTGAGATTGGCTAGTGATTTATATAGTCAATAAATACCCAAACTGGGCTTGGTGGCGTATGCCTTTAATCCCAGCACTCAGGACGCAGAGGCAGGTGGATCTCTGTGAGTTTGAGGCCAACCTGGTCTATAGTCAGGGCTGTTACACAGAGATACCCTATTTCAAAAAACAAAAAGGTCCCACTGCATGCTACCTGAAATGGTAGACACCAAAGCACAATGGAAAAAGGACAACGTCTATTTTTGGGAGATAGGGGGAAAATTAGCCAATAAGATGACACCAAAAATCAGTTATATTTTAATGAATAGGAAGGGAAAATGTGGTACAGCCATACAGAGGAATGTTACTTGGTTTTTGAAAGGAAAGATAGCAAGGGCTGCAGTATGGCACTAGGGGACTTACCTAGTTTGCAGGAGGCCTTGAGTTCAATTTCCCATTGAACAAAAAAAAAATTCTGACCTGTGCTAGAACATGGATTAAACCTCAAGACTTATGCTAAATGAAATAAGCCAGACACCAAAAGGACAGATCCGATTCTACTCACAAGAGGTACCCAGAATTTAAAGAGAATTTAAAGAGAAAATACAGTGATGACTGCCAAGGGGAGATGGGAAAGGGATCCTTGTTCAATAAGTCTCAGTTCTATATGGTGAAAATGTGCAGGAGCTTGGCTTCATGAGAATGAAAATATGAACTGCACACTCAAAGATAGTTAAGATGGTTTTGTCTTATACCTGTATCGCCATGCGCTCTCAAAATCCATAAACTATAGTTGGGAAGAGCATGGAGCTTGCTGTCCCTGTACCCTTGCCTGGGATGCTCACCTCACTTTCCTCCCACTCTGGCCTGGCCTGAGCTCATCAGGCTACAAAATAGGTCCCCTTTTCCTGTCCCCCTTCCACAAAGAGTCCTGCATTTGCTCTCTTGGGCTGTGCTGTGTCTCCAGAGTGAGTGCAGTTGGGATTGGACTGGGTAGGACTTTGATCGAGGCACACTGTCTGGACTCATGTTTTCCGCTTGCATGGTTTTGTGTCCCAGTTTCCTCAAGGTTGATGTAAGAATTCAACAAGATCAGCTGGTGAGAGTTCTAGAACCCAGGACTCATGAATGCCAAGCAAGTGTTGTACCCTCTAGTTACATCCCCAGTCCTCACTGAACCTAAAATCCCTACAGATATATGTTCCTTCCTCACTACCAGCCTGCCCTGCAGCACCTCAGGCTTTGTATCTTTCTGCTCCTTTTCCTCCTGGAAATACCCCTCTTCCCCAAATCCTACTAAATTCCAGCACATAACTTGAGAAAAAAACTACCAAAGAAAATTAACCAATAGTCAAGCTCTAATATGTCATTTTGCTTTCAAACTACCCTCTCTGCCTTACCAAAGGGGAGTGACCATTGTGGGAACTCTGGACACCGCAGCATTCATAGCAGGGAACATACCCCGAGAAAGGGTATTTTGGGGGGCATCCTGGGTGTTTGCACACCCAGGATAGTCCTGATCTTGGATCTGCAGATCTGATGCTACCTACCTACTAAATGTTTTATCCAAGAAGCAGGAAATATTCACAGAGAATTGAACACAGTCATTCTTCTCTTTGGTTTCCCAAAGGCTCAGGCTACCTAGGTAGTTTCTGCCTACCTGGGTATCAGATGCAAGTGCCCAGACATGCGGCAAAGAGCCAATTGGCCCTTCTTTGACAATTTGCCTTTCTCTCTATGTAGTGACCCACAAGGTGGCTCAGGAAGTGAGCTGACTTTTGGAGGCTTTGATCCCTCTCATTTCTCTGGGAACCTCAATTGGATTCCAGTCACCAAGCAAGGCTACTGGCAGATTGCACTGGACGGGTGAGTATCCTCCATATAGTAGCTACGGTTGAACAGAAGCACTCACAACAGCCATAACTCAAACTGGTTAACTGAGTGACACTACAAGGCACTGGAGCAGATGCTGGGAACCTGACATCTGGACTGGAGGTGTGGGAACACACAGGGAGGACTAGAGGAGTGGTTTCCTTCTGTATACATTCTGCAGGCCTCCTTCTAACTCCTGCAGCTACCTACTCTGTGTCCACACAGCCTTAATTAATATACTATGCAATGGCTGAGTGACATGGGAAATGCCAGGGTGTTTTGGACTCAGGTTTTTTTGGGGGGAGGGGGTGAGACAGGGTTTCTCTGTGTAGCTTTGGAGCCTATCCTGGCACTTACTCTGGAGACCAGGCTGGCCTCGAACTCACAGAGATGCGCCTGCCTCTGCTTCCAGAGAGATGGGATTAAAGGCGTGCCCCACCAACGCCCGGCTGGACTCAGGTTTTTGCTTTCTTGAAGCTTGCATGGAAGATGAAATGTGGTCCCAAACTGTCACCACACAAAGTGGATGTGGTCAGGGCTCCCAGAGCCACTAGAATGACTAGCAAACAGAGTGAAACATCTCTGTCTGAAGACTGCCTAAGATTTTGTGGAGGCAATGGCTCTGAAAATAAGCCTTGAAATCCATGCCTGGGCACGGAGCTAATGGGGAAGTAGGATCGCACCCTTGCTACATGGCCAGCACTGTGCTACATAAGGTGGGAGTTCAGGGCAGAGCAATGTAGTTTCTGTTCCTAAGATGCTCTAGATAAACAGCTCCAGTGCTCACTGGCTGCTGATGTTTGTCAAACAGCTCAGGGCATCATTTTAAAGACTCTTTGTTTGCTTTGTGTTATGTTTTGAGAAAGGATCTTGCCATGTAGCCCCAGCTGGCCTGGAATGTTCAGGATCTTGTCACCTCGGCCTCCTACATGCTGGAATTACTTACAGGTGTTCCCTAACATGCCCAACTCCTGAGGTACATTTCTGAATGAAAACATAGTACAATAGAAAATACAAAAATCTATTTCAGCGTGTGTGTGTGTGTGTGTGTGTGTGTGTGTGTGTGTGTGTTTGGCCAAGAAGTAAATGTATTTCCTACGATGAATCTCAGTCAAAAAAGTAAGTTGAGTCAGGTATAATGGATCATGCCTATAATCCCAGCACTCATGAGACTGAGGCAGGAGGATTGCTATGAGGTTGGGACTAGTCTGGACAGAGTGAAACCCTGTCTTTAAAAAGAAGCAAGTTGGCTAGGCATGGTGGCACACGCCTTTAATTCTGGCACCTGGGAAGCAGAGAGGCAGGTGGATCTCTTTGAATTGAAGGCCAGCCTGGTTTACTTAGTAAGTTTCAGATCATCCAAGGCTATGCAGAGACCCTGTCTCATACAAATATGCCAGTTGAAAAACACCCCTGTGGTAGAAGAGACCAAAGGTAATGAATGCCATTATTGTGTCCTGGAATGGTGAAAGGGCCCCATAGGGAGCGGGAATGGCCAAGAATCAGGTGGTAACCATGAAACCACGGGGCCCTTTGTCCTCAGAGTCCAGGTGGGAGACACAGTGATGTTCTGCTCTGAGGGCTGCCAGGCCATTGTGGACACAGGGACCTCCCTCATCACTGGCCCCTCCCACAAGATCAAACAGCTTCAAGAGGCCATTGGGGCCACACCCATGGATGGAGAAGTAAGTGTCTACGAGGTTCGGGAATGAGGTAGGAGCAGGAGAGCCTGTCCTTCACTGGGGAGAGAGTCGTCTCTGAGTCGATCCTTCTCTGTTTTAGTACGCTGTGGATTGTGCCAACCTCAACACGATGCCAAATGTGGCCTTCATCCTCAACGGGGTTTCATATACCCTCAGCCCAACTGCCTACATCCTGCCGGTAAGGGCTATTTCCTTATTTTGTGAGTCACAGAACTCTCCCCACGTGCCTGTCACTTCCCCCTTCAAAGTCATCTACACCAGTCCTGATGTGACATTCTGTCTGAGAGAGACAAAGCTGCCTGTGGTAGAAACTCCTGGACCTGCTTCTAGTTTCCAGTTCTGTCATGAAGCAGCAGCTATTTAGGTAGAAGACATTTAAGGGGGATTTCTGAGGAATTTATCAACAAACACATTAATCCTCCACACTGCCTATGTGCACCTGGCAATGTTATTATCCTGACTTATAGGGGAAGATGGTGAGATTCTCAGAGTTAAATAAATAGTTCAGATATGACTGCTGAGGCTGGTGAGATGGCTCATCAGTTAAGAGCACTTGCTATTTCCTCCAGAGGACACAGTTGGGTTCCTTGCACCCACTTAGTGTGGCTCCCAAACCACATGTAACTCCAGCTCCAAGAAATCCAATGCCCTCTTCTGATCATGTGTGTACGCAGAAATATACTACACAATACATACATACATACATACATACATACATACATACAGTAAAAACTCTTAAAGAGTGATTTTAAAAAAGAAGATATGAGCTGCTTTGGGAGGGCAACATTCAAATTAACTTTTCTTCTCAAGCTAAAATGTGTATTTTATTGCAACGATTCCCAAGTTCTGAGGGTGAGGTAGAGACAAAAAGCTGGACATTTTTGGAAATCTATAGTCACTTCACATCCCCTAGGCATAGTATTTGATGTTGCACTTCTTGGGAAACACACTTTAGCCTGTTGACCCTTTAACCAGAATCACTCATGCCATCAATGACTGTGTCAGCATAAAGGTGTAAGGTAGAGTGACCTTCACTTTCTGCTCTAAAGCATCGCTTAGTGGCAAAACCCCTGAGCTCTTGAAACACCCTTGGAAGCTCTCTTCAGACAGCATGCCACATGGCGAGACTAAGCCCTGCTCACCAGGCTCCATTTCCAACACCACGTTACTGAGTGCTTCTTTTGGACCCTAGGATTTAGTGGACGGGATGCAGTTCTGTGGCAGTGGCTTCCCTAGTCTTAGTGGATGGAGGGCAGTTCTGTGGCAGTGGCTTTCAAGCATTTGATATAAATCCTCCTGCTGGACCCTTCTAGTATCTAGCACCTACACTCTCCTACTTTTGTCCAGCAAGAGGCTCTGCTTGTACCCAAACCCTGCCTTGTACCCAACATGGTACTGGGGTCCTTTTCTGACGGATTTCAATCAGGGCCGTCTCAGTGCATCGAGGATACTGAAAGTTCCTCGATGTTCAAAGTTCATCCCTGTCTTCTCACAGAGCTGTGACTTCCCCCACCTCCTCATCAGCAGCTTTGAGTTTCAGGTGGTTGTAGGGAAACCTCACTTACCTGGTAGAAACCAAATCTTTTCTAAAATGAAAAGTAAAATTGGGGGACAGGAGTGGTGGTGCATTCCTACAACACCAGCACTCAGGAGGGAGAGGCAGGATAGTGAGTTCTGGACATGGGCTACATAGCATCTAAAAGAAAAAGAAGACTGGGGGAGATTAGGCTCCCTTCGTAGAACAACGGATGTGTGCTTGCTGTGTGTCTAAGAGAGCCCACTCTAAGGCTTCTTCTCCAGATATCAAGAAGGAAGTGGTGATGGCTAGTCATTCACAGAGCAGTTTCTCTCCCTTATAAAAATTAAGTTGAGCTCTGCTTGAAACCAAAGAAAATGGGATTGAAACCAAAGCTTTTGCAATAAGGTTATTACACTTACACAGTTGTTATCACAGTTATTATCAGTTATAAACTGATGTCAAGGTATGGCTGTAAAAACATACAGTACTCAGAATTGTAGAACACAGATGAGTGAACCGAGCAAATATGCACTGTACTGAGCAAGCTGGAATATGGGCATGAAATGAAAAAAACCCACCAACCACAACGGTGGCACTCACCAACCATCTCAGGCCACTTGGTGCCAGCCAGCACCACCGCTCAGTGTGGCTCCCAGCCCTCTGATCATCTTCCCCTGTCTGCTACTAACTGCTACTTTTGGACCCTAGGACTTAGTGGACGGGATGCAGTTCTGCGGCAGCGGCTTTCAAGGACTTGACATCCAGCCACCATCTGGGCCCCTCTGGATCCTGGGGGATGTCTTCATTCGACAGTTTTACGCAGTCTTTGATCGTGGAAATAACCAAGTGGGACTGGCCCCCGCAGTCCCCTAAATAGGGATGTATGTCTATACCTGATACCCTTTAGCCTGTTAGATTTCTTTATACCTATCCAAAAGTCATTTCCCATGGGATGCAGTCATCCCAGAGTATTCAGACTACAGAAAGCATAAGAGCACACACATACCACCTCCACCACCACCACCATGATGGAAGAATGAAGTTCTGTTTATAGTCTTAATTGCTTAATTGTGTCAACTTCCAATTATGGAACTCTCCAAACACATATGCAAGTAGATGTGATGGCAAGATAAATCCCTGTGCACCTCTACCATCCACATGTGGTCAGGCCCCTTTATCCTCTCTCCCTCTGGCTCCACACATCTAAATTCAGAAGCAAATTCTAAGTACCATATCATTTTATCTAGTGTCTAATATCCTTACATGTCATAAATGTGTACCTTTTTTTTTTTTACAGTTGGTTTATTTGTATCCGGATTCAAACCAGATCCATAACTGGGGGGAAAAACCCATAAATTGCATTAGCTTGAAATGTCTCTTAAGTCTCTTTTCTTCTATAGACTTTTCCATGTTCTTTTGCTAACTGCAACCAGGCATGGTGGTACATGCCTATAACTCAGTACTCTGGACGCTGAGGCAGGAGGATCACTTCAAGTTCAAGGCATCCTGGGCTACATAGCAAACTTCAGGCCAGCCAGGACCACATGGCAAGACTTTGCCTCATAAAAAGACCAAGAAAAAGATTTTGACTAGTTAGAATGTGGAGGCATTGTTTGACAAGGGTCTTTGCACCCACCCTGCCTATGACATGGTAGTTAGATCTAGAGACCTTGATTCATGGCAGAACTGTGACATAGAAAGCCCTGGGTATGTCCCATCAGGAGGCAAATAATGTGGGTGTCTTTTAACTGGTCATGTTAAGTTGGATGGGTGGATTTATGTCAGCCTACATCATCTCATACAAAACCCTCTCTTTCAGCAGGCACTGACGGTCATCATTGAACCGCTCATGATGGTTAGGGTTTCCCCAATTCTATTTTTTCCCATAACAGTCATCTTCTTTCATCACCTTTGTACTCACTGTGAAGTCCACCTCCCATACAAAAGAAGATGACTGCCTGAGACTTCCCCTCCCCCACTTTACCTACCAGTTGTCAAAATAAAGAAAGGATGCTATAGCAGAGGGTAATGGATTTAAACCTACCCGTTCTAACATACTACATTTACTTCCAATATTCAATTCTCAATGACCCTTTACATTACTTCCTGTGAACTTTCCCAGCCCATCTTACACACTTCCACCCTATCAGGTAGCCCCACCCATTGTCCCAAAGAGCTCCTGGAGCATGCCTATGAGTTTACTGTAAATGAAAATATGTGGTAGGCTGTCAAACAGAAGAGGGGGTAAGAGCACTCCCAAAGTCTGTCCTGAGGGATTTCCCAGGGAGAAATGGGACTGGACCCATCTTCATCCTGGGGGTACCACTTGTTTTCCTCTTCCTCCCTTCCCTTTTTGCTTCTTTTAAAATGGGATCTTCAGACTCATTCTTATTATAAAATGTATGCAAGTGTTCCAATGTGTGCAAGTGGTTGGTAAGAACCCGTTTTTAACCAAAGAAAGTGCCAGCAAAATGGTTCAGTGTCCAAAGATGCTTGCTCCCAAGCCCGGTGACACAAGTTTAATTCCTGGACCCCACATGGTAGAAGGACAGATTGCTCCTTTGAGTTGTCCTCTTGCATCCATATTCTTACCCTGTGCCTGCACGTGCGTGTACACACACACACACACACACACACACACACACACACACACACACACACACTAAATAAGTAGATAAATTAATCATTTTTTCCTCTAGCTGTATTAACAGGGAGAGTTATTGGCATGCAATGTTCTTCTTTCTACACAAAAGAAATCATGGCCCACATATTCTCTAAATTGCCACTTTCCTTTCAAAATATGGAAGCTTAGGCAGGAAGTCAGTGAGTTCAAGGCCAGGATGTACTACACATCTAGACACTGCTTAAAAGAAAAATGGAGGGGCAGGCGGAAGAGTGGGGAGAGGGGAAAGTGTGTGTGGGGGTTCTTGACACTGCAGATAATCCGCTATTTTAACATCTACTGCTGCCTATTTATTCCATCTTCTCTCCTGCTCATTTGGTTCTTTGAGGTTTGTATCAATCTAAATGCTTGTTTATGTTAGGCACAAAACATAGTACTTCAAGACTTGCAAGGTCACTAGGACAGACTCACACTGTCACTTATAGGCAGGAATAGTCAAGGAACACACCCCACGCTGAAGGTAGATACTTAACTTGGATTCACACTGGCATTCCACCCTTCATCATGGTCACGCACATATTTTTTGTTATTTTATTCACTTGTTTTATTAATTTACTGCCTTTGCAGTTTATTCAGAACAGCTTGTTGTTCTAAACAAACTACCAAAGTGTGAGAGTAGGCGGGTTAATAGGTGAGTTCTCAGCTGGACAAGCCAAGACTGGATTCCCACCACCACACCTCCACACCTGTCTGCTCACCTGTGTAATGATCATGGCAATAGGAAGTGCTTCCTGAGGTCATGTGAGGACACCATGCCTATAGTGGTTTGAATGAGAATGGCCCCCATAGACGCATATATTTGAATATTTTGGTCCCCGGTTGGCGAAACTATTTGGGAAGATTGAAAGGTGTGGCCTTGTTGGAGGAGGTGTGCCACTGAGCTGAGGTTTGAGGTTTGAGGTGTCCATATTCTTCCTAGTTAGTACTCTCCAACCCCCTCTCTGCCTTGTGCTTATAGATCAGAAGTAAGCTCCTCACCATGATGGCCATGGACTCTAACCCTCTGAAACTGAAAACCCCCAATAAACTCTTTCTTTCTAAGTTCCTTGGTCATGGGGTTTTGTCACAGCAATAGAAAAGTAACTAAGACAGTGCCCTTCTGCATGTAGAAACAGTTAGCTAGCTTGCAGGCCTTGGTCCTTAGAGTACAGGCCTTCACCCATCAGGGAGACTCTCAGAAAAAGCAGAGGCCCTTGAGACACAAGACTTTGTAACTTATGCTCTGAGTCAAAACATCCCAAGAACCATATGGGGGCCAGCTCGGGAACAGCATCCCTGCAGGTGCTCTCCTTGGGGTCATTTTAGTCCAAGAGTTCCCTAGGATGCGATGACCTGGGGCTGTGTAGGGAGCCATCCCTGCATTCTCCATTACAAGATGGTGCCTGCATCCAGCAGGCACCGAATGGTAAACAAGTTAGTGCGCAGGCGCTGGGTAACTTTCCATCCCTTGGTCTCTGCCTCTCCCGTGGCGTCATATGGCCCGATGAGCTGCAGCCAGTCAGGGGGTGACGCGTCCGAGGCGGCGGTTGCCAGCCTATATAAGGGATGGGTTTTTGGGAGTTCGGGGTTCCCGCTCTGTAAGCTTTTGCTCTCCCTCTCAAGATGCATTAAAGCTTGACTGCAGAAGGATCCGAGTGTCCTGTGTCGTTCTTGCTGGTGAGACGATCGCACAGGACAGGGCTGCATGTCCAGCAGGCTGAGAAGAGCAGAAGAAGTCCAGAGGGTGGACATGATGCGTAAGCCACACCATTGCCTCTGACAAATGACCAAACGAAATGGTGACTCTGTCTTCACACCAGTCCCACTAGCTCTGTCACAAAAGTGCTGCTTCCACTTGGCCTTTTGTCCCATCCTTCTGATCACCTTTCCCCAAGGGTGTTTCAAGAACATCCTACTGTGCCATCACCACTGCCCTGTGCCCACATCACACCACTGCCCACTGCCCCAGTGTCCACTTCACACCACTGCCCCAGTGCCCACATCACACCACTGCCCCAGTGTCCTCTTCACACCACGGCCCCAGTGTCCACTTCACACCACTGCCCCAGTGTTCACTTCACACCACTGCCCCAGTGTCCTCTTCACACCACTGCCCACTGCCCCAGTGCCCACATCACACCACTGCCCCAGTGTCCACTTCACACCACTGCCCCAGTGTCCTCTTCACACCACTGCCCCAGTGTCCTCTTCACACCACTGCCTCAGTGTCCACATCACACCACTGCCCCTGTGCCTGACTGGTGAATATTTCTGAAAGTCATGAGAATCCCATCCTTCCCTTGTTCCCACTTCCCTGTTATCTGCCCCCAGGGTACCAAAAAGACCCCCAAGCCAGGACTGTCCAGGACCCTGCCTCTGTTCAACTCCCTCCTCTATGAATATGAGCCGCTGGGCCATGTTGAATCCTTCCCATGTCCTCACTTGCACATTCTGCTGTCAGGGGTCCTTCTACCCTTTCCACCAGGGGAGCGGGTCACTCCACAGAGTGGCCTCGTCCTGATGGGCCACTGAAGAGATTTCCCACACCTGCAATCCCAGGACCCAGAAGGTAGAGGGGCAGGAGGGACAAGGCCAGTGTGGGCTACATAGTAACACACCATTGCCGCCACTCCTCACCCATCTCTAAACAAGCAAGCAAAACTGAGATGGAACTTTCCAGCACAGAGTACGCACAGCCAAGGCGTTGGCCTGGACTGGGTGTCTTCCCAGTGCCAGCCTTTTCTGGGTGTCTTCCCAGTGCCAGCCTTCTTCTGCTACTCGGAGGGTCAGCATCTCTGCCTATTCCCACGTCACTTCCCTTGCACTGAGCCTGCATGCCTCCTCCACTCAGCCTGCCAGTCCTTCTAACTACAGTTTAAATTCCTTCTTCTTCCCCTTCAGAACACCTTGCCTAGGACTACCATCTTCCTCCTCTGAACCCTCTGATGCTTTTATTTCCACTGTTAAACTCCAGGATCCATTTGTGTCTCCCTCAAGAATCTGACCTACTCAGACTGCTGAATGAACGCAGTGGGTGTGGCGGGGTGCAAACTGGTCAGCCTTCTCCAGTGCAGCATGACGGAAAGGGAAAGGGAACCTACTGACTTCTGATTCACGTGGATGGAGGAAGTGGGGGCTGGAGCCTGATAGCTGGTGTCTTAGTTTCCAAAAGACACTGGAAACAGTTCTGCAAACAGTGCCTAGAAGAAGCAATTTCAGAAGCTGTAAGATCCAGCTGCAGACAGGGCACTTCCCATACCCCCAAGGGTCCTCAGCAGAGCAGACCTTGTGACATCTGCAAGTCCACGTGCCACTGCGACTCTAGAGTAAAAGCCCCACAGCCATCTCATTTTTGTGTAGTCATTTCTTCTGAGATAATTCTGTCTTAGAGAGAGACAAAGGGAGGTAAGGCATTCCATTCTTCAGGCATGCTTTCTTTGAGCTCAGGAAATAAATAACCCAGAGGCTTCAGGAAGTTCCTCAAGTACCTGACCCCCTCCCTCCTCAAGCATAAACAAGTAGTAAGGACTGCTGAACTGCTTAGAAATGGTAGAGACCCAACCAAGCTGCATTGACGAGGTGAGACCACCTGAGCTGCCTGGAAGTGTCACCCTCCAGCCTGTTAAGCCATTTGCATTTTGTGCAGTGTGCCCCAGATGTGCAGTTTCCTTGAGCTGTCACCCATGTTGGGAGAGCTTTGAGTCACTTCTGCTCCTGTAAGTAACCTCTCACCCATACTCCAGTAAGCAGCCCCAGTAAACTCAGTGGGCTGCCAAGTTAAGTTGGTATCCATACTTGGTTCCCTCTCTGAGAAGACATTTGTTCACACCTCCCCAGTAACCGTCATACAACACGCATACACACAACCACACAATCCAAAAGCCCAGCAGCCTCCACGAACCAAAATACCTCACTTGTGCAAACAGCTTTTAGAATCTCCCTCAGCTTCCACTCTTCCTCAGAGTGGAAATCATTAGGTCCCTACTTCCAAGAGTGTTTGCTTCTGTTTGTGTTTAGTAGGGTCCATAGTGGCAGCCCTATTGGCCAAGTGTGGGATCCCCAAGGCTACTCGGTGTTCTTTTCTAAATGCAAAATTCTATGGCTGGTTTAGACACACAGAGGCTGGAAAGGGCTACTGGAACCAGGAAGAACTTTCTGACAGGATAGTAATCAAACAAAAGAATGGGTCTACAAGGACACAGAGCCCTAGCTTGTGAGGAATGTGGAGTGCATCAAATACACTTTAAGGGGACCCCTTGAGATCTGAGGAGTCCTGTCTATACTCACTCCATCTGCTTTTAATCTGCCAACTATACTTACCCAAGGCGTGTTCCATGACAGTGAAATGAGAGTGTCAAAATTAACTGTATTAGCAGCATTTTAATTTACTGTCACCTTCTAGGTGCTTCAGGTTAAGCCACACAACCTAACCAGAGGGACTGTGGATGAGGTTTTAGGGTGTCTCACCTCTTACAGGCCTGCTGTGGTGTGGGATGTATGTGGGGAGTTTATTCTATGTGAGTGGAGTGGGGGGTGTGGGTTGTATAGAGTTGTGTGTGGTGAGGAATGGGGTATGTGTATAGTGTATATATAAGGAGGGTGGCACAGGGCATGTGGGGGCATGTATACAAAGTGTGTGTGTGTGTGTGTGTGTGTACCAGTGTGTACGGAGTGTTCAGGGTGGGGGCAAGACCTAAGATCAGAATTTCTTCCAACCTTACTGGACCAGTTCTGCTCCCCAAGTGTATGGAAGACAGCAAACAAAGGGCTTCTTTACTGGGACTCCCATGAGCAGAGGCAGCTGTTCCTACAAGCCCATAAATTGAACATGTTGCCTTGCAGACCTTCTGTCCAAAAGTCCCCCAACTCAAGCCTTCCATACCCTGGGACCAGAATCCTCACGAAGTAATATTCCTGGTGCCCTAAATCCAGGCAGCTCTGAAGCCTGGCTCTCCCAGTCCACTCCACCTCCTCCACCCACACAGCTGAGGTCACCCAGGCCCAGCCTCTTTTGCAACTTTCCCAAGTCTGTGCAGAGAAAGGAGGAAAACTCAGAGGGAAGTGGCCTCTTACCAACCCCTTTTACGTTCTCAATACTGGCCAGAGTGAAACTGCCACTCTGGGGAACAGAGGCCCAGGCCCAGAACTCCCACCTGTGTGAGGTAAGTGCCGAACAGCTGTGGCTGTGAGTGTCCTGGCAACCTGTCTATCCTTCCATGTGCCCAGCAGCTCCTGAACTGTCTGGGTGTTGGGGAAGAGGGGTAGAAACAATGGTGCAGGGATAAGGCTAAGAATGTGGCAGGTGCAAGATTTAAATGCAGCCCAAAGACCCCTGCCCTACAGAAAGTTACTGGGTGTGGTGGAGAAAGGACTTCCCTCCCAGTCACAGGGAGCTGGGGCCCAGCTCGGGGATCTGTAGCGGTGCAAGACAGGACACAGCAGCTCAGTCACAGGAGGATGGCACTATGCCTCTAGACCTGCAGGGCTTGCCAGAAACTGGAGCCTTCTAAGAAGGCATCTGGCATCTCCTTGGCACATGGACAGAGTGCCTTCTGAGATGTAGATGTGGGGACTACCAGAGAAAGTCCAGCTCCCAAAGTAGGAGAACATCCCCTTTGTTCTAGCCCATAAGTATTTCTTCTGGCAAAGAGCTATAATGCATGAGCCAATGAACTGAGTAGGGCAGACAGGATTCTACTCTAAGCCGGCTGCTAGTCTAATTTGTTGTTGCTCTCTCTCTCTCTCTCTCTCTCTCTCTCTCTCTCTCTCTGTGTGTGTGTGTGTGTGTGTGTGTCTGTGTGTCTGTGTGTCTGTGTGTGTGTCTGTGTGTGTCTGTGTGTCTGCGTCTGTGTGTGTGTGTTGTATGCATGATGGGTGTGCCTGTTTACTACAGCATATGTGTGGAGGTCAGAAGACAACTTTGTGGAATGGGTTCCCTCCTTCCATCTTTAAATGAGCTCTGAAGATAAAACTTAGATCATCAAGCTTGCATGGCTTTACCTGCTGAGCCATCCTGCCAGCTCACCAACTAGTTTTTTTACCCAAGAATCCATTGAGCTATAATAACGTTTTGTAAAAGGCAAGTGTTCTATAATTTCTAGGCATTGTGTATTGATAAAAATGATTGCTTCGGGCTTATTGATCTACAAAGAACCTCCAAAGATACTAGTTTCTTAGTATTCTTAGACATACACTGTTCTATTGCATAGCAGGCATGTACTACATGGGTGTGTGACGGACAGATACTTGGATGGATAAATTAATGCATGTGTAGATGGATGACACATGGGTGGATGCATTCAGAAGTTTCTATATTCCCAGCTTCAGTCACCACACTGGGGACAGGGATACACAGAGATGAGAGGCACTGTCTAGGGTATAAGCAGTCTACTTGGGGCATCAGGACAAACACCTCCCCAAAGAACTTAAAGAAAGAGAACGCTGAGCTTTCTAAACCAGCACTGTGGGTGTTACTTTGTGGAGGAAGCAGGTTTAGACCTGCAAGGATTTGGGTGGGTGAGACCGACTCTCAGATGATCCCAGCAGGCAGCAAGGCCTCCTTTTCCCAGGAAATCTCACTAAACAGGAGCCTTTCTACTCAGCCTGTGAGTCCCACTATTTGTTTGTTTGTTTGTTTGTTTAAGACTGAACATAGTATGGGGTGCCAGGGAGAAAAGAAAAGCTACGGGGCAAGACAAGAAGCTGGGGAAGAGTGTATACCGGGGCAATGAGACTGGGCTGCAGAATTCTCAGCTGCCCCTGCTCACTGGTCTCCCTGACAACTTAGATGGGGCCTCACCCAGAACAAGTAAGGCAAGAGAGTGTTCTGGGTCCCAGCTGGAGCAGCAGGATAGGGAGGGAAGGGACATGGAAAAGTGAAGGGTGAAACCCTCAAGAGTTCTTACAGACTAGTCACAGGTCCGCAGCAACTGAAGTCTTCCTGGCTTTGCAGAGAAACAGGGCAAATGGGCAGGGCCCAGCTTTGTCTGGGATGTGCTGCAGGGCAAGAGCTGGAGAAGAGGTGGTCCCTCTGGAGTCCTGCTCTGTGTGGGCTGAGCTGGCTGGGCTGGTCCTGCATTCCAAGCCTGCTACTCATTCTTAAGTAGCAGTGAAGATGACTCAGCCGTGCTGTTAGGGAGATGCCTGGCTTCCCTCTTTGATGTTCTCAGTCGTGACATCCTGTGTCCCCCCACCCCACCCCACCCCCATGAGTGGATAGAGGCTGAAAAGGACATTGTGGCTACAGCCCAACCAGGGGAAAAGGACATGGGAAGGGACTTCAGCCACCATCTGGAACCTGGGAGTAGTCAAGGGAGCCCCTGCTGCCCCCTGTCCCCAAACCAACTCCTCCAACCACAGCACTGGGCCAGCCTGGGCCACTCTCTGAGCCAAAGGTCAAGGTTATTTTTAGAAGTCATACTCATAAAATGTTCACCCTTTGTGGGACCAGGGTACAGAAGTCTGGTGGCAGCATAGTTCCAGGGCCCATCTGGAAAGAGGATCAGGACAGTAGAAGGGATGGAGAAGTTACAAGGATCAGAAGAGGCAAGTGAAACCCAAAGACATCAACTCCTCCAACACCACCCCTGCCAGCTCCTGGCATTGCAGAGAAATTGAGCATTTTTATGGGTGAAGAAACCCACTGCCGGTGAGAGGAACAAGCGCTCAGGGTCTGTCTGTCTGTTTCCCATGAGCCTAGCATTGCCCAGTACTTAGATCAAGTGACACTGAGGTCCTTCTAGTTCTATGGATGCCCCATACTTATAGTTTGAAATCAGCCACAGTGGACATGTTTACGTCATCAAAACTGCAACCACTGCAAACTGGATCTCAGGACCTCCTCTCCCAACCCCACCCCACAACAGTATAAACTGTTGTCTGGATCTTCCCTAACTTTGGGATCCTGTTATGTTGTCATAACATGACCCACACACATGCCATCTGCAGATGAAGCCACAGCCATAAGTCATTGTCCACTTTGTCCAGGAGGGAATAGAGACTCCTAGGTTAGCAATACTCAAGGCTCAAGGTCACAGATGGATAGATTAGGGAAGAGAGAGGGCTCTCTGGCCTCAAAAGTCATGGTCATTGCCTGATATGAGGCAGCCTCCCCTTACCCCACCCCAGTTACAGTGAGTCATCCAATTAAGAACTCACACTCAGATGACTCTGGGCAGTCACCCTGTCACATATGCTGTATAAAGAGAGGTTAAGTTAGGGTGGGATTGGGAAAAAAGGAGAGGTTAAGTCCTTTTCTGATATTTTTAAATTACAGAAACTAAGATTGCAGAATAAATTTTAAAAATATGGACCTGAGATAGAATGAAAACTCAAAGCCTCTTCTGCCTTCTTTCCCCATCCCTCCTTAGATGGCATGTTTCCATCTGTGTGTTTCTGGGACACACATGTGTAAGGTTAAACACAGAGACACACTGGGGCTTATTCCTGACAATCGGGGTCAAACACACTCCATCAAACGTTCAGATTGCCTTTTCTTTTTTACTTAAATTTTTGTGTGTGTGTGTGTGTGTGTGTGTGTGTGTGTGTGTGTGTGTGCATCATCACTTCATCCTTTTTAAAATGACCTTATATTTTGGGAATATATGGATTGGCATTTGTGTAGAAAGTCTGCTACTAAAAGAAGCCATGAATTTGAGAGGGAGAGAGGCAGGGTTGGAAGCATGGGAAGGGTTGGAAGGAGGGTGCAGGGTAGGCGAAAATGGTATAAATATAGTACACATATAAGAAATTTTCTAATTATCTTAATTTTTAAAGAAGAATTATGTTGTTGGTGGACAATCAGGTAGAGTAAATATGTGCTCTGACAGGGCCTTTAAGGGCCAAGCTGTGTTAGTCTCATTCATCTCCACTTAAGGGAAAGCCTCATGGTACAGGTGGTACACTTTTACAATCCTAGACACTTGGAGGTCTTCGGCAAGAGATTGCCGGTTTAGGCCCTTCTCAAAAAGGTGTGAGAGTGGGGCTCTATGACAGAGTATTTGCTAGCAGGCTCCAGGCTTCAGTACTTTTTCTATTATTAAAAAATAAAAGCCTAGTGTATTGGTACCCCAGTTATATTCATTGTACATCTCATGATATGACATGTGACAAAATGCCTAACAAAGCAATATGAGGAAATCAGTGCCTATTTAGGCTCACAGTTTGAGAGAGCAATCTCATGGCTGGGAGGGCATGACAGCAGGAGCCTGGGGCAGCTGCTCACACTGCATCTGCAGCCAGGAAGCAGAGAGGTGAATGTCCTTGCTCAGTTTGTATTCTGTTCATCCATATGTGTGTGTGTGTGTGTGTGTGTGTGTGTGTGTGTGTGTATGTATGTATGTATGTATTCAGTATGCATATCTATTTATTCTGGGATCCTAGACCATGGAATTATGCATCTATATTTAGGGTGTATTTTCCCACATCGATTAGCTCAGTCTAGAAACTGTCTCACAGATGTGCCCAGAAGTGTGTCTCCCAGGTAATGCCAGATCCTCCCAAATTGGGGATCAGTATCAACCATCACAGGCATTCTTTAGAGCTGGGCCTGGATCCAAATCTCAGCTCCGACCTAGGTTCCCCCACTACAGGGTGTGTTTTGTTAGGAACTCCTAAATCAGCTTTTGAAAACATCTAGTGCTTAGTAAAACAGAGATAATAGTAGTGCCAATTCCACAGATATTGTGTGTGCACTAAAAGAGCTAACACTTTAAGACCTTAACACTCTTTAAGAAACCTTACCGGGCGTTGCTGGCGCGTGCCTTTAATCCCAGCACTCCGGAGGCAGGGGCAGACGGATCTCTGTGAGTTTGAGACCAGCCTGGTCTACAAGAGCTAATTCCAGGACAGCCTCCAAAGCCACAGAGAAACCCTGTCTTGAAAAAAAAAAAAAGAAAAGTAAAGAAACCTCAATTGGTGCCAGTATACATATCACAGCATACATCAAGCATAATAACATGCTAATTCATTTAAGCCCACACAATGTGCTATTACTTATTTGCGTATTTTCAACGTCCTCAGCACAGTGTTTGACCAACAAATGTCAGCATATAGAGTGTGACATACCGTGGCAATGTGCACGGGCCATTCCCTCCACCTCCTCATGATGCGTGTCCACTGAAGTAAGGGTCCTCGCATACAGCTCCTGTTCAGCAACCCCAGGTCTCTTGCTCTAATGGAGCCTCTTCACCCCTCTAGCTGCCTTTTCCCAGTACACCCAAGGTTTTGTTGAGCACGACAGATCTGAGCCCAGTGCCCCATATGTTTATGCACACAGAGCCAAGGCTTCCAATTCTGGTAATCTGAAGGCACCACAGCACGGAGCTTTCTGTGGCCTTTCATCCAAGCAACTAGCTCATCCAGTTGCTACAGTGTGGGGTTATGTGAGTTATGAGTGACTTGCCCTTCCCCCCATCACACACCTTGCATGCTAGGGATGGAAGCCTTGTTCAAGTTAAGCCAGCAATGTAGTAGTACCGAGCCATATCCCCAGTGGAGTGACTCTTCTCTGAGTCCTGTTTGCACTCAGCTGAAGGCTATGGTGAGGAGTGCCTGCTGCACGAAGGGTGGGTACCACTGTGCTCAGCCATTGCTGGAGCTTTTCCATTTTCTGCCTCCATTTTGAAACTCTAAATCCTTTTTAAGATATTGTATTGGTTTTTTAAGATAAGTTAACACACTGTGCTGAAGTGTTAGGAAACAGCACTCCATTGCTCTCAGGCCCCTTGAAAAGAGATAACTGATGCTCAGAGTCACACCCCTTTCAAAGATTTCTCAGCCACTTCCTGGTGCCTCACTTTTGTTAGCAGCAACATTGCTGCATGCCAGCCCCGGTTAGTGTCTTTAGTTCCCTGCCTCTACATCTACATGCCTGGGAGATAGGGAATTTTTGATAAGTTAGCTAGAATAATATGAATGAATGAATGAATGAATGAATGAATGAATGAATGAATAAAATGGGATAGTCCACCTCAATCTTGCTCCCCTGAAGCAAACCAATCACCCTTTCTATTCTCCATCCCCAGAATTTTCTTATTTCATTCTCTCCTCTACACATACCACATACCTCACTGCTTCAGGCCTGGCATGTTGTCAGCACCATCCCTTTTCTGTGTCTGGGGAACACTTTCTAGTGTCCCTTGGTCCCCGTTCCTTCTTCCCTGATGTTTCCTAGAGCAGATCCTACGTGTTTCATCCTAGGTGGCTCCCAGTGTCAAGTTCAGGGCTTGCATGTGTTCTCTTCACAGGAAAGGAAGAGTACATTTGTTTATATTCAGTAATGCATGCATTGATTGGATTTTCAATGTGTATATTCTGTATTTCATGAGATCTGTGTATACAGTGCTTACCCAGCATTCACAAAGCTCTGGCTACAATCCCAAACACTGAAAAAAAAAAAAAACATTAGTACAATTGTTATATCAGTTGACACTTAGCTGATACTGCACACATAATTTAGCAACAATTTTCACTCAGATTATAGAGCATGGATATTTTCCCACATATAATAAAATATTCCAAATACTCCATTCTGATGACTACTAAGTAATTTGTCTTGTGTCCTGGCCCAACTACTTTTTCACTGTTGGGTGTTTATAAGCAATGCTGGAAGGATGGTCTTGAAGTCTTTGCTGGAGTTTCTGGTGATTTCTGTAAGAAAAATTCCTAGAAGTAGAGGTCAGAACTATTTTGGAGCTTGCCACACGTGCTGCCAAGTAGCTTTCCCGAAACATGTGCCGTTTTCACCCTTTTCAGCTTGAGCAAAGAGCCTTGTGATTCTGCAAGGGCAGCACACTTTGGCTGGGGGAGGGGCTCTCATCCATCCAAAGCCTCCAGGCAGTCCTGACAATGGACCACTTGTCCTGCCCACCCCATCCCCTCTTCCCACACTGGTCTCCATTCCTGGCTCTAGGCTGTGCTGCGTGCGAGGTCTCTGTTCAGATCTGTCCTGTTGTTTGGCACTTCAGGCTACCTCTCAGAGCCGGACTCTGAAGAGCTGAAGGGTAAGTGAGCTGTCAGTCTTGCAAATTTGGCAAAGCAAAGTTAGGGGAGGGTGTGTACAGGGTGCTAAGTCATGTGTGTCCTTCGGGAGAACAGCCTCACTAGAGTCCTTAGCCAAGGACAGAGATTCTGATAAACCAGAGGAAAACAGAGCTCAGACGTGAAAGGAGTCACGGGATGCTAAACGCTGCTTAGAAGGTGTTGTGGAGGACACGTGGGAGGACTGCAGTGACCGGGTGTGGGAGGGTTAGCCCCAGTGACCATGGCCACAAGCAAGACTAGCTAGTGTGAAAATGACCTCTGTTTGCCCACAGGCTCTGAAGCCGCTCATGAATCCCCGAAAGAAAGTGGACTTGAAACTTATCATCGTCGGCGCACTTGGGTAAGCCAAGCCGGGCTGCCGTGTGTTCGCTAGGAAACAGCTTTACCTAGGAGCTGAGTCAGAGTGGTAGCGAAGTGCATCACACTTCAAGTTTGGGAGCTTACCTGCGAGAAAGACGCTTGCAAGAAGTTCTTGGTTTGGGCTCCACTCTGTAGTAACTGGCTATGCAGCCATTCACTATCTCTGGGTCCTCCAGTGACCTGCCACACCCAACAGAAGTCTCCGCACTGTGTGGGACACCTAACCTTATCCAAAAGTGCTCATTTGGGTTGGTTTCTGCTTCTAGAAACTATTCCCAGTCCTTTGATCCCAAAGGGTGGTCTCTAGGTCATTGTTACTGGAAATTGAGAATCTGAGTAACCCTCTCTTGAGACACTTGAGCCCATCCTAGGGTGTGACTCTTGCCTTTCTGTGGCTCCCCCACCTCAAGTCACTCATATATCAAAGCCCATCCTTAAACCCAACTTTGGTCCAAAAAAAAAAAAGAAAAGAAAAGAAAAGAAATAAAGAAATTAATTCAAAGACTCAAGGAAGGACTGCAGTGCAAAGGGCCTGGTGATGTCCTGAGAATGGCATCTCTCTCTCTCTCTCCCTCTATCTCTCTCTCTCTCTCTCTATC